AAAAAAAAAAAAAAGGCACACACACACACGCCAGCACACGAAGGACTGCACGCGCTCGATCGTACATACAGTGGTCCACACATGTGCACGCACGTAATCGCACACACAGACACCGAGGAAAAGACGGATGGAGGAAGGAGGGGAGAGTGTGCACGGGCCCCATTTCTCATTGCAATAAGCAGAATGAGTTACAGGCCACTGGTATAGGGAATCGGTTAGACCTCTGACATCTCTCTTGTCGTAGAAGGAAAGGGAGGGGGGGGGGTCAAGGGAGGGGGTCGGAGGGGGAAAAAAAAACGAGGGCAGGACAACAGCCATGGGCGGAGTCCCGCGGGCAGATCAGGGGGTTAGGTCACGGGTCCCGAAACAACATCGCGAGCTTCGCCAACGGCGACTCCTGTCCGTTTCCCTTAATTCACTCCTCAGGCCATCGTTCTGTCCATTCTTACCCCTCGATTACCATCTTGTGCAGTGAATGTTGCAGATCGCATACCATCCCTCTCGATTCACGACCTCCTGTTCCTCTCTGTCAATCGTACACCTGTCTCTTATACACATCTAGATGTGTATAAGAGACAGCGGTATCCCTTGCTTGAATCCTCCATCGATATCATCATTTTATTTTTTAACTAAATTTCATGAAATGAGGTCGTCAATAGCCACATAAACGGAAGTGAATAATCCTATGAGTGTCCTTGGGGACATCCGTTACAATTGGAACGATCGAGAGAAAGGGTAATTAGCAAAATGGCCCCTGCGCAAGGATGACACACGCATAGATCGAGAAGTGGTCCAAAATTTTGGAAAAAATAAATTAAAAATAAATTAAAAAAAAAAAATCCTATGAGTCTAATTCTGCAAACAGATACCAACTACTCAGGTGTGCCCTGGATTCATCAGCACTGGATGTACAATGAGTTCATCGATCCTATTGACACTTACTTCCCATCATCATCGTCGTTTTTCTCTGGCGCGCAGCACCGAATTAGGCCCCCCTTATCACCCTTCCTAAATCGAATTGTAGGCTTAACCAACCTATCCCGCCGAAATAAGGAGAAATGGAGAGACTATACAGATTCCTTCTGCTAATTGATCTCGCCCCGTAATACCCGTGTCACGCGCAAATGGGATCTCAGCGACGGGGCAACAAACAAAAGGTAGCAAAAGCGTTTGCGGCAGAGTGCCCAGAAGCCTCAACCTCCATTCGATTGAATCTCAGTCTGCTACCGAAGCATAGAAGGGTGCGCGTGCGCGCGGGTCCAATCACACACCTAGCTGCAGCTGCACACGTGCGAATCCTACACGCTGATACACATACGTACAGACAAGAGCACACACACACACACACACACACACACAAACAGCGGCACGCACACGCTTGCGCACACAATAACACACATCAACACACAAACACACACA